GAGACATTTAGGACTGAGGTTCTGTGAAATTCTCACTGAGAAGTACTTGTCTAAACCATTCTCAAACTTTGAGGATTGTTTTCCCCATATGAATGTCAGCCTCGATCTTTAGAAACTCCAGAGTCTAAGTCCCCAAGTACAACTCACTCTGACTCTCACAACCTTCTTAGTTAAATAGCCCTTCTTGTGCATTTTGTATGGCTATTCTTATGGAATCTTAGTCTCTGTGCCCTCAAGGTATTGGAGAAGCCAGGGTGGGAGGAGACCCTCCTAGTCCCCAGTTCCAGCACTAAACACTATCCCAGGTTTTCCTGTGCTATGAACTCTCTCCTTCCAGATCCATCTCACATTAATCTCTGGCTCAGCTCCACCCTCTTCCATGGGTCCACCTTCACCCTCAGCCATGGGACCCACAATGGATGTCTGTCCTATGGCAAGGCCTGACAGTGCTGGGCTGGCTGAGGGAAAGGCTCGGGGGAGGGGCTATTCCATAGAAAGCTGGGAATTCTGATCCAGGGGACAACGAGTCTTTTCTCTGTAGCTGTTGGAGAAAGGCTGACTGAGGGAAGCTGGACAGCAGGTCCTGCCCAGGTTAGCATTCTTGTAAAGCACCCTCCCACTGTGTACTATCTGGTGGCTACAGTAAGCCGACCTTTGGAGCAGGGACCAGGCTGACCGTACACCCATGTGAGTATGACCTGCCACTGACCAGAGCGAAACAAACTGATGATTTGTCCATGAGAAAGCAGGCAACAGTTTATAGCAAACTTGGGGGATGTAAAGCACTAATTTTCCATTTCTCCAAGCTCTCATGGTGACCTAAGGTGTTCCCATTTCTCATACAAAAGTCAGAAATGACAAGAGCAAATTGAGTACATGAAAATCTGAGCAGAATAATTTACAGAAATATAAAAAGAATTTCAGGTACTCAGTGCTTTCAAGTGAAGCTGATGATATCAGCACCAGATAATCTGAACATCCAGGAAATTAGCTGAGTGCCCTTGGGAGGAAAAAGATGAGTTACTGGCAAATACAAATTCTCCGTTATTCCAGCAGGTAGCTAAATTCCATGGGTTGGCTAATTGGCATAGGTCTGGAATTCCTGCTCATAGTCTTCCTTTCTGGAATTCAGGAGAGTCATGAACTCCCTCCATCAGGCCCCAGTAGACCCCAGCTCATTTGATGGGCAGGTGTCGCATGAAAAATAACAAGGTACAGAGACAGAAATAAATAGGGAAGATGACAGATCTGGGGACTATTTTGGCTCTACCCTCACCAGGTAGATTTAATACAACCTCCACCCTTAATAGCAAAATGACAATAACCACATTATAATGTAAAATATTGTCCTGCAGATGGCAAGTAATCACATGGGAGCACTTCTAATATGCCATTATTATTTTCATAGCCTTGTTAACACAAGTTTAGATTATTGCAAGAGAAAGTGAACAACTTCCTTAGGAAATAGGAGATCTAAGAAACCAAGACCTCAAGAGCATTTTAGAACAGTACTCTGAGACCCCAGTGATTCTAGCTAATTAGCATCAAGAAGGTCATTGCAAAGACCTTACCTGTGACGGGGGTATAGCAGTGGTGGCAGGCTAACCTTTGGAGCAGGGACTAGATTGAGCATCCATCCAAGTAAGTAGTATGCAGCACGGATGGAATTCTCAGGTATTTCTTCTTTGTCCAAGATGATAATTTGAGCCCAGGTATTTTCTTCTGTGGAATCCTAAGTGGTTCTTTCTATCAATCCCCAGAAAATCCTTCCACCTCCCACTAAGTGCTCTGAAGATATTACCCTTGACCTGTGGCCCTAGAGACCATCAGGCACATGATAAGTTTGTGGTCCTGAACCTTCCAATAGAGGATACAAGATATGGTTGTCCTGAACAGAGAATTTTACTCTTCTGAATTCTTGGTTTATGGAAATCTCTTTAACTGCGGTTGAATTTTCAACCTCAACTGAAGGTATCAGAGCAGAATAAAGTAAGAGAAGAGAACTGTACACACCAGAAACAAAATCATAATACAAAGTAGTAGACGGTCTAACTCTTAGAAGTGTGACTATCCTGTGGGAGATCAATGCTTCTCCTATTTAAGTAGCAGGCAGAATCCCATAAGTTTCTGTAATGGTGTCACCTGCAGTGTGAACACTGGCGGAATGACTGGTAAACTCATATTTGGGGAAGGAACACAAGTGTCCATAATAGCTGGTGAGTCATCCCAGGTGGTACCATTTACAACCTCTCGGGTCAGTGTCATTCATCCATTATTTGTGGTGGTTGTGACAAATTGTCTTACAGAGACCTGGGAAGGGGAAAAGCATCACTATCAATCGTGAATATCTATGTTTCTCTGGGCCAAACATATTAAAATTTGACCTTAATCATGCAATGGATTTTTTAATGCCTTCTAAGTGGCTATCATTCTGTAAAATGTCAAAGTGTGCGGAAGCCTAAGATAGATGCCTGACCAGTCCCCAAGTGGTATAAAGACTAGCCGAAGGTACAGAAGTATTGTATATTTAGCAACCTGAAAAGTGTTTTAGTATTAGCCATGGATGATGTCAATTGGCACCATAGAGATTCAGATGGCTAAGGTCCTGGCTGAAAAGTTGCCCTAGATTGGTAGTGGAGAACTCATGACATGCAAGTACAGCAGGCATCAGGGTGTTTCTGCTGGCATACATGCCTGGTCACCCCAGCTGCCAAGTATTCGGGTTTAATTTCAGTGTTGGCACTTTGCAATGAATAAGTGAATTCTGGGTTGTAGTCTGAGCATTCAGTACCTAAAATGCCTGCCATCGCTGCCCTTGGCAATGCAGACACGTTCTATGGTAGAAAGGATTCACGTATGTGCAGAGAGAAGAGTGAAATTCTAGGCATAAAGGATGACAAGTAGGTGAGTTATTGGGAATGAACAAGGCACAGGCCTTTTGGCCTAAGTGAGTACATCTGATAGGAAAGTTGGATGATGAGAGAGCAAGGCAAAGAAGGTGGCTTCTTAGAAATGCAAACAAGAAAGATCAGAGACAGCCACCATGGTCAGAGGCAGACACCAGGAAATTGAGGCTCCAATTGAGAAATACAGACCAGATGAGAAGTGAGAGCCGTTAGCCTTTTCAGGATGGCTCCTTCCAAAGTAGGCACTAAGAAGGTTGACCGCACCTTCAGAAGAGGAGGAACAGGCAGAGTGGCATCCAGTGTTGAACCCTGGAGCCTTCTGGCAAAGACACCAGCACTTCAGTTATTCCCAAGAAGTCTGCCCGAGCTCTATCCTGACACTCTCCAGAGCCTCCCTGAGAGCCATATCTATGCTGTTCACTCTCACTCCTGGGTTCCTCATGCCTAACTACAGAGCACAGATGTAGTGGTAAGGAGCTTTCAATCACTGCTGTGCCTGGAGGGATTTAAAACACTAGAGCACTCAGACCTGTGCTTCTGCGGTTAGTCTTGAATTATGATGACAGGTAGGGATCTTGAACTTCCACGCTGAAAAATTGATCCAGTCTTGCTAAGACTACCTTCTGATATGATCAGTAGTGGAATGTATTTTTCTTGCCAAGATTGAACAGGATGTTTCTGGTCCCCCCACAGGACTCTGACAGATGGACCCCTAAAGACCTCTAAATTAAAAGTGGCTCATTTCTTATTTTAAGAAAAAAGTGTAATATTGCACTAGAGGCATATGGAAAGAAAAGTAAACGGCGGTGCTAAAAATATCAAGCAGCTCTAGTGTTAGCTCCTTTGTCTGAAAAGGGAACATCCAAGCTCTGGGTGCCTGACCATGAGCCCACCCCCAGCTCTGCTGCTCCAGGGCGGCCTCTCGCCCAATAGCTCTGCCTGACTCAGAACCCCAGGACCACGCCAAGGGCTGATCTCTTTGGGTTTGGAAGCAACTGGATGCCTGCCTTGCCAAGCCCACCCCCGCCAGCTCAGCAAGCAGGGTGCATCATGGGGATCTAAGAAAGCTTGTGTTGCAGAGGAAGAACCACGGAGGCAGGAAATTCTAATCCCAGCCCTGCTGGCAACTCACTGGGTGGCCCCGCGTTAATACTCCTGGCAACCCTCTGCTTTCTCATGTAAAGGGGGAGGTCAGAAAGAATAAACAATGAGAATCACATTAAAAACATGAAATCCTGTGGAAATACTGAAGGAAGAATAAGTCTCAGTACTAAGGAAAAGCTTCCAGCAACTCCTGATTCATGGGATGAAGCATAGACGCTGTGGCTGTGTGCTACTGTGTAGCACATTATTAGGTGATACTCCGGGCGGGCACAGCTCCAACTACCCACATGTGCTCAGCACTGTGCAGTTCATTAGATATAACTTTATATGCAGAAACACTCACTCGTGTCTCAGAATAGCTGGTTACAAAGGTAGATGAGGCAACATCTCTGCTTTAGAGATAAAATTTCTGAGAAGTAAGAGGCTGGTATGACTTAGTAAAAAGTAGAACCAGGGCTTAGACGCTGGTGTTCTGGTCTGTAGTCTAAAACTATTACCAATGAGAAGTAAATATCTTTGTGATATTATACGTTTTCCAACTTAAAGCTAACATATCATAAACCTCCATTTCCTGCCAATATGCAAAGTAAATGGGGGATATAAGGTTTGCTGTGCTGAATCTTTTTTTCCCTATGTTTGCTTTTGTCTCACCAGAGTAGTATTACTAATTGGGCTTGTTGAGATTTGGGGAAAGTTCCTATTAAGTAGAAGACTGAACAGTGTCATTAAGTAACCTGCACTTCTGATGTCCTAGAATGATAGGCAGAGCCTAGCAGAAAGCATTCCCTGAAGCCTGAGTTCTTGGCCAGGACTCATGGCTTAGGCCCGCTCCTAAGTCCCAATCTACCATGCATGGCTGATGTCTAAAATGAATGAGACTGGCTCTCCCCACAGAGCCTACTTTGTCCATCAATGGCATCAGCCCTCCAGCCTGGGTTGGGGCAAACAAGAAAGCAAACCATCTCCTAACCTAGTCCTCTTGGCCTGCAGTCATTAAGGAACCGGAACCTGCCGTGTACCAGCTGAGAGATCCAAAATCCAGCAATGTCTCCGTCTGCCTGTTCACCGATTTTGATTCTAACGTCAACGTGTCAGAAGTTGTGGGGTCAGAAGTGTCTCACATTGAGCAAACTGTGCTGGACATGAAGTCCCTGGATTCCAAGAGCAACGGTGCCGTGGCCTGGAGCAACAAGAACAATTTTAATTGTACAAATGCCTTCCAAAAGAATACGTTCTACTCCAGCTCAGGTGAGTGCTACTCACGTAAGCAGGGGAACAAATCCTAAGTTTTACTCCTTTAAAAGATCAGGCTACTATGTGAAGGACAGGCAGTAGGCCAAAAGCAAAGAAGAAAGGAAACAATTGCAGCAGAGAAATGATGGATGCTGGGCTAGCGGGTAGCACAGAGCCAAGTGGCAAACACCACTTGGGTTTCAAAGATAGAACTATCCAGAAATGAGGAGGAAAACAGAACATCAAAGAAAGTGACTGGATTCTCTGCCCGAGTAGCAGAGTCAGCGATAGCATCACCTACGTGATGTAGAGAAAACAAACCTTTTGGAACGCTTGAAAGTATCCATCCCACTGTGGCCCTTGTCCTGTGTATGTGCCTCACTGCCTGTTGGGCAGCCTGGAACATGTCCGAGGGCAGGGCATATGTTGCTAGTTCTGTGGGGCCCACACTATGCAACTTGTACTTGGCACTGCCAATTTTGTTGAGTGAGTTAAAGGGCACTGAAGCACCAGGGTGTTGGCCCTCCAGCAGGTGCCCGCACGAAGTTCCCTCCACACCTCTCCACGGGAACCAAGGAAAAGCCGTAGACATTGTATTCACCTGCTCAACAACTATGAGGTCTGGGGTGGGAGAGTCAGTTCACTCTGGACTCTTTTTAAGAAAATGTCTTTGTTTCTCCTTTTAGACTTTCCCTGTAATGCCAAATTGGTAGAAGAAAGCTTTGAAACAGGTAAGAGGGGGGCCTACCAGCTTTGCGCATCACTAGGGAGGCGATGGACCCACATTAATGTTGACTGGGGGTAGAGGAGGGGTACAGGGAAATTCTAGGAATAAAGTCCTAAGGAATGGGAACATCAGTTCAGGATCTGCTCCAAGCTGCAAGGGCTCATTCTTGAAACTCTCCGAGGGTATCTAATTTTCTTTTCCATTTGAGGATGAACCTCCAGTCTTAAGCAGGCCAATAGCTCACTCCTCAGCCTCCTTTACTCTCAGTAACTTCATGGTCAGGAGAGCTGAAGAGAGCTGCTAGGTGTCCAGCTGTGACAATTCTGATGCCCTGTCCTTTTGGTATAACTTTGAACCAGTCAGGTCACCCTTAGGACACTTTTCCTCCACAGGTACAGGACCTGCCCTCTTTCAAGAAACTCACACAGGCTGTAGGCAGAGGTCCTGTTGGCCAAAAGTTCACAGCACTTATGGCCACCTACCCTCATTTTCCCATGAATTGTTCTTTCTGGGTCCTCTTTCCAGTGGTTTAGACCTAGGGGACTGTAGTTACAAAGTCCAAACATCTGCCCAGTCCCCATCCCCAAATAGGCTCAGAATAAAACAAAGACCAAGTCCAGTTGATATTTTTGTTTTAAAATACAACCCTGTTGACCCTGGAGGAACACACAAACATGTTTGCATGGGATGTGCACAGAAACCTAAAGGCAGAGGCAGGTCCAGGAGCAGATGCAGACACACACACACACACACACACACACACACACACACACACACACACACAGCCTGCTGCTTAAGGAAAGCCACTGGCACCATGAGTAGGTGTGCAGATCTCTGGTGTGTACACCCATGATAGCAGCAACCTCTTTGCTTTACAGATATGAACCTAAACCTTCAAAACCTGTCAGTGATTGGCCTCCGAATCCTCCTCCTGAAAGTGGCCGGATTTAACCTGCTTATGACACTGCGGCTATGGTCCAGCTGAGGTGAGAGGGCATCAGAGCTGGGGTGGGGTAGAGATGAGTTTCCAAGCTCAGAGAACAAACCTCTCTTACAAGGATTTGCTTTTCAATCCTAAATCTATGCCTGGCAAGCACGAGGTCCTGAGTTCAATTTCCAATACCAAAAAAAAATAAAAAATAATTTTAAAAACATAAATCCTAACTCTAGACCCACCAAACTCTGCTTCCTCCTCTTACAAGTTCCTGTTATTAATACCAATGGCCTAAAACACTGAATAACAAAAGATACTCATCTCAGGCTCCTGGTGAGAAAAGCAGTTGCTACTCCCCATTTTAGAAATGAACACACTGAGGCCAAGTAACCCCAAGAACCATATGCTAATGAGTGCAAGCAAACAGAAACTCCAACTGACTCACTTATACCACACTCCTTCTATCGAACCTCTTTCCCTGTGTAACTGATGGGGCCCCCAATTCCTTTCCTCATGTCCTCTCTCAGCTCAATGTGAGGAGACATTAGGTCCCCTAACCCTAACCTGGCTGGAGGCTCTGCGTGTCCCAGTTATCAGGATGACACGAGCAACCTGGTCCACTATCATCCAAAAGAATCCCGTGGTCCACGTGCTCCTAGGACACAGCCCACACTGAGCCGGCTGCCTCATCTCCCCAGCAGTCCTGGTACCCCCGAGCACCCAGCCTGATTTCTGCTCTTATTCGTCCCAGGTCGGAAGGCTGTATGGGCCAGTGTTCCTTTGCTCCTTCCTGCCCTTCTTCGGACAGAAGGGAGCTCTCCTGCTCCGTGCAGGAGGTGCCCATCATCGCGCTGACCACCATGTCGATGCTGAATTTGTGATGAAGACTGCTAAAGAGCTGCCAAACGCTGCTGCCACCCCCACCCCAACCCCCGCTTCCCTTATCACTGCTTGTCACAATTCATGGCAAAGGTGATGCTGCGAAGAAAACCCTCCCCTCCACGAGACAGCCTCTGCTGTCCCACTGGGTGACCAGTCCCCAGTGGGGTCTCTGGTTTAGAGAATGTTGTGAAGTCTTTATTTTTCATATAGTGCTTGTAAAAACATATATAAATTCTTCTTCGCAAGATGTAGAATAAAATCATCTCGTTCCAGTGGTGGCAAACCTATGGCAATATGCCGCAGTGGGTGGTTTGCTATCACTGAAAGCTCTAAAAGGTTTGCCATCCTGCTAGACCCTGCCGCTATGCTGAGACCTGAACCTCAATGTGTATTATTCTACTGTCCTGGCTTCATTAAACGTGATCAAAAGAGCAGAGACTATGTTTCTGTGTGACTGGCTTTGCTAGAGGTCATTTTCTGCACATTGTGGGCGCTAGCTGGGCAGAGAGCACCCAAGCATGTGTCCATCCTGCTGTCCAGGCAGCCTAAGACAACACACTGCTGCTTGGCAACTTGCGCTTGAAAGAATTTCTAAGAAGTTCCAACACCAGGCTGTGCTGGGGACCAGGAAACCCTCTTTTTTGGTTTTTATGCTACACCACTGTACCACCCATAACAGGAAGACCACACACAGGGGTGGTAGTGACCTGTAGCTAAAACTTGCCAGACAGGGACCACACAGCAAGTGTCCCTAAAATGCCACCCACTGTCTCCTGCCCTCACTAAATGTTACCCCACACATCCACAGCTGGAGACCACCACACATTCTGCTGCCCAGGCCCCAGACCCACGCCTCACCCCTGGAGCAGCCCAGTCTAGGAGCTGGGCTAGGTTGCAGCCCAGTCATGACCGCAGTAAGACTTCACATTCCCCCACCCTGGACATGAGAACAAGGAAAGGAAAGGTTAGCTCTCCCCTAAACCAAGGACTTGGCCATGGAGAGTATGTGCCTCAAGGTCTTCCCTCAAGGACAAGAAGGGGGATCCCCTGGGATGCCACAGCATACTGTTCTCTCCCCTGAGCCTCCTGCTACCAGAACACTTTTCCCTAGGGACAGGCACGCTGGTGGAACCATATCGCAAAGACCACTCAGCCATCCTCACAACAACCCAGTCAAGACCAGAACTGAGTGTTCACTTATTTCCAGAATGTGAAATCCTCAGTTCCTGATACCTCTGTGTCACTGACCACACCACTGTACTACCTGCTGCTTCCCATAGTGATGGCACTCCCAGTTCTAACAGGTATCCTGGGGTGGCAGGTCCCAGAAGCTCTGAGCATCAGGGCCACCACTTACAAAAAATCAGCTAAGCCTGGAGGCCACCGGTGGCTCCATGGTTCTCTGAATCCATGACCCCTGTAGAACTAAGAACTAGCATCTCATCTCCTGGTCAGCCCTAACCAGGGGTGGCCACAGAATCCCCAGCTCTTTCTAAACTGTCTCATCTTCAGCCTAAATAAAATCCCTTGGCAATTACTACAGGGAAAGGCCCCAGGTGGCTGCATGACAGGTACCTGCAGGGAGCTCCAGGAAGCCGCTCCCTTACAATTGCCTCCTCCTCCACCTCCCAATGCCAGATTCTACCACTGGGAATTTCTTTTAATTAAAGCATTCTCTTCCCCATATTAAATGAAAATGCCCCTGGGAGGGTTAGTAGAGCAAGCCTTTATCGACTGTTAAAACTTAGGGCAAATTAGTTTCTCTTTTTTTCCTCCCCTAAAGTGGTAATTCACTTTGTTCTGTATAAAGGAGATCCAGGCAAGGAAAGTGTGGGTGGCTGTGGCCATGCGAGGCTAAAGAGGACAGAGGACAGAGCCTAGAAGGCAGTGAGGAGACCAAAGACAGATCCCTCCATAGACCTTGAGGAAGACCCAGGCTAGAAGAGGCCTGACAGAACCTATCAAGTCATGCCAGCCCTGTTCCCCCAGGTGACAGAGCCAGTAATCACAGGTCCACTAAGGACACCTAAGGACCCACAGAAGAAGATGCAGCACAAACTGGGAACCCACCCACTTCCATGCAGAAAATAAGGCTTTCCTCCTCACAGGCCCAGCCCAAGGAAGGTGCAGGGTGACAAGCCTGGCAAGGGAGAGGAATCCAGAGAGCAGGGTCAGCTTCCCACTCCATGAGAAATTTCCATCTAAAACCAGGGTTCTTCCAGCCCAGCAAGAACCTTCCCTCATGCCTGAAGCTTTTAAGCCTAAAGCCAGTGGGGGCCAAGGCCGGAGGACTAGACCAGGAAAGAGTGGGTCAAGGGCAAATGAGTATACTTCATGGGCCTCTGACTGATGGCATCCAATAGTTAACCTGGGATATCAGAGGGAATTAAGTGCCCTGTGGACAAGCCAGGAGACAGGTCCCTGTGCTAGCTGCGAAGGTCAGCTCTGGGTCTTGTACCACTGTAAGCCACTCACAGGAAGAACTGGGCACTGTTCAGCCCAGAGGAAGGGACAGCTAAGGAAGCTTGGAGATCTGATCCTGAGGAGTCTCAGCCCCATGAGACAGGGCCGGGACTCTTGTGGCCTAAGCACCCTGGACTCCAGCTCAGAGATGGCTGCAGAACGGATTTCTCTGGACAGATGCCCTACTGCCCCTAAAGCCCAGAAGGCAGAAAGATGAACCAAATAATCCCCCCAAGGCCTAGGCCTAAGATTTAGCAGAGCTGTCTGAACTTCCCTCAGAAGCCTGCCCTCGAAGCACAGAGCCACAGTCCAGGGAGGAAAAGGGTAGGCATGTGTGTGCTTTAGGTGCATAGGTGTCCCCAGCCCCCTGCCATTGCCCACCACTGAAGGGGCAGCCATCTAAATCTGAAAAGATTATTTGTTCGCTTCACCCATAAAACCAACTGATATGAACTTAGTGCCAAGTAATATCTCAGCAAGGAAGTAGGCTCACATGTGTGCTCCATGGGATAAGAAGTGTGCCTCACTTATCCCGGTGTCCTCAGTAGCTAGCATGGTGCCTGGCACACAGCACATGCCACCAGATGAAGCAAGAATGGTTGACGCCATCAGGCACTGGAAAGGGACCTGTGTGTGAGGGATGGGAGTACAGGAGAAAGGCAAGTAGAGGCTGACAGAGGAGAAAGCTGGGTGAGCCGCCCTTTCCATTTTGCTACCTGGCAAGAAGTACCAGAAAAACCAAAAGCTGGGTAGTGGCCCCTTGGCCGGGAAAGCCCAGGCAGGCACATATCCATCAGTGAAGCCGAGGGGACAGCCACTCAGAGGCACACAGGCCTCCCGTGGAGCCTGCACTGCAGTCACAGGGACCACACCAAGGTCACCTGAACACCTCTCTTCATGTCCTGCCTGTGCCCTACCCTAAGGCCCATCTCCAATTTACTTTCTCCAGCAAAGGGTGAGTAGCAGAGAGTCCGACCGAGATGGGTGAATGTGGGCAGGGAGCTTGGCCAGCTCATTCTTGCTAATGGACACACTGATTGCTTGGGAAAGGAGGACCCTGTGGAAAGGCCACCTGGGAAACTGGGTGGCCTCTTTTCACACAGATCCACACACGCACAGGGGTTCTCTTAGTATCACATGCTGAGCTGCATTTTGAAATTAATAAGCAGGTCAAACACTGAGTCAGTAAACAGAAGTAGAACAGGAAGTGGGAAAAGTCTCCACTTCCAGCCAGGTGTTGGGGTTGGGCGGCCCCTCCCATTCCATGACGTCATGGTTGCTAACGGGGACAAACAGGCCACCCTTTGAAGCTTTCCCACAGAAGCCACATCCTCTGGAAAGACAAGTTAAAAATACAGAGTTAGAGATAGCATCACCTCAGGCCACGTGCCGAGAGGAGGCAGGCTGGGCCGTTACACCGCTGCCAGCCACAGGTGCAACAGGAGGCCCCAGGCCCGTGGGAGGGGCTGGCGCGCACCCGCAGAGCCGCGGGGTGGAAAGGCGCTGCTGCTGAGGAACCTCCATCACCCCCACTTCTGCGGCCCTAAGATCAGACTTTACTTGACACTAAGTACAGGGCAGACCCCCCCCCCCAAAGCCTGGGTCTGGCCCACTCCCAGGTGGGCTGGGCGGATGTGGGAGCAACCTCTGCCCGTACAGCGCTGGGGCTGGCTCTCCAAGGGTCATCCGCACCAGCAGCCCCACACTTGCCAGCCTTCACTTAGGGCTGAGAGTGAAGGGCACAGTGGTACCCCAAATGAACACCTGCCTCTTGGGACCCATAGACCAGGATTCTGCAACGGACCAGAGACCCTGAGACCAAAGAATGGCAGGCTTGGAAATCACGCTCTGTGGCAGTGTCTCCATCCACCCACGTGGGGGCAGCAGTGCTCCACCAAAAGGAAAGTAGGACTCTTCTCCCTTGGTCAGTTATTCTGGGGAGGGAAAACACCCAAAGTTCAGGAAAATTTCTTTTCAAAAAAAAAAGACTGGTGAATTTCATTTCACTAGCTCCTGCCTATGCCAGCAACAGCACTGGGTTCCAATTCTGTGTGATCCTGAGAAGCCACGGAGGAGAGTAGGCCCAGGGTCGGACCTGCAGGCAGCAGGGGGCACTGCCTGCCCAGGGTCATGAGACGGAGCTCACAGCAGGGAGCCCAGAGAGGGACAGAGTGGGGCCAGGGCTTTGCTGCAGCGTGCAGAGGCCTGAGCTGGCCCAGGATTCCTGACCTCATTGGCCTTGTGCCCTGGTGGGGAATTAAGGCCTCACAGCCTGTTTCCCTACAGGACCAGCATGCTCTCCTAGTAGCTGAAGAACCAGGCCTCTCTTACATGGTACACAGTACCCGCCCTGTGCCACACATGGGGCTGCGCTCTGGGAATCTGGTCCCTGTACAAACACAATGACTCCACACAGATGAGGCTCAATGACAGGCACGAGGAATCACTGATGACAAACATCACAATACCAACTGCCTCTAAGATACAAAAATTGATGGAGCCCTCAGGGAACAGTCTGTATTTGATCTGGGTATACACAGAGCAAATGCACCAAGTCATAAACCTCTCATGAGTACACACATTAGTGTGTATAAATTACATCTATAAAGTGCCATTCTTATTAGACACACAGGATTCCAGTAAGTACACAAGCATGAAAGAGAGGTATCAATGCCCTTAATTTCATGATATCTGTTAATATATATTTTGGGGGTGACCTCAAGCCAGGAGTCAGGAGACACAGTCACCTATGTGTAGCTTCACTGTCCCTCACTACCTTGTCTTCTAGAGCTTTTAACTTTACAGTCTCTCAGTGCTTCATTATACATATGGAGATAAGCATACCTGACCACCTACTTCTCAGTTTGCGGAAGAGCTCGAAAGCAACAATGAGTATGAAAATGCTTAGTGGACTGAAGTCCCAGGACAAATGCAAAACAGTGGCATGCCGAGACTCAGGGGA